ATAATTGTATCTTCTTAAAAACCACTTTTGTTTTGATGATAGTAATATTATATATCTTTTACAGATTTAAATTATGATGGATACGGAAGATAATGATGTTCACGATTTGTCATCAGATGAGTTTGGTGATGAGGACATATCTTTTGAAAATAACCGATGTACTAAATCAAAGGATGCATCGAGCAGATGCACCATCATGGAGGTTCAGCCACTCGAGCCCGATACAAGGAGACACATGACATATCGTGGAGCTGTACCAAGGAGAACCACTCCATGAACTGCCTGATGCGTTCTGAACCGAAACCATGATCGAGGAGTCTGCCGAGCCAACTGTCCAGTGTAGCATGTCTGAACACACCGAGCACGCACACCAACCAGGTCACTTTCTATTCTGCTCGATATGACAAATCCGGATGTTGATCAAGAGTTACCATCTTTTGACTAGGTTTTATTTTATTGGCCAAGCCTATTTTGGGATTTTTTTATAAATATGCTTGGCTAAAAACTCATAAGATCCACCTTTTTATTCAGTATTATGCTTTCTTTTCCCTTGTTACAAGAAAAACTTCTATTTTCTCTCAAGAACAAAATTTTGATCTTAAGGTTTATTTCTAATATAGTTTTGTATTATTCATTATATCTTTTTTGTATATCTACTAATAATTATGTTTAACTATACTTTGTGGATTTAAACATGGTTAGTGAGTAGTTAACTTTAGATTTGAGATTAAGATAGATTAGAATGGTATTAATGATTATGTAAGGTGTTAGGGTGTTAGATCTTTGCTTTTTCCTTGTTGTGTGATTGTGTTTAATGCCAAGTACCTTTTTTTGTCTGAAATAGATCTTAGGCGTTTTGTTATCACTTAGGTGTTTGAGAAAATGTTTAAATGATTTTCAATGCTTAAGAATGACATTTTGATTGTCATGACTCTTTGTATCTACCATTTCATGTTTGATTGTGCTTAATGCTAGAGTACTTTAGGAATTGAGAAATTGTCTTCTAACATTGATTATGCATATGAATGTGATTTGATGTTTGATTTATTGCACAAAAAATTAGTGATCTTAGCCTAAGGAATTAGTTGTTTAAGTTGCTTTTTGGCTTAAAGACTTTGTGATTGAATGCTTGCTTGTCATATATACACCATTAACCATGAGTTTAAAATGTGATTAGACAAAAAGAAGTGCCATGAAAATGAATTAGTCTATAATAGTACTCTTTGCCACTATACTACAAGTGTGTGCATTGAGATTGTATACAACAAAGGCTTAAGAACCTATGTGTCAAACGCCTTATAAATGCTTTATAACACCTTATAAACGCATTAAACAAGCATTTATAAATTATATGAGTAATAAAAATAATATTTTTCTAAAAGAAGAAAGTGACAACTAACACATTTGACAATAACTAATTTTAAAATAGATCATGGCTCAACTTTTTTAACAGCTCTTTGCTTTTGTTACTGAGATGCTCATTTTTATTTAGTTTGATAAAAAAAATCATCTTCTTAGCATAAGTCTTTTCTTTCATCAATTGGTTTGCCTCCTCTTGTTGCTTTGCTATTTTGTCCAGTCGTTCCAACTTTTTCTCTTTAAATTGTTTGAATTCATTCCACTCTTCAATGATAATTTCCAAGGTTGCGCTCTTACTTTTCTTTTTACTTTTTTTAGCTGCATCCCTTTCCATTGAACGAGCACTATATCCCATAGAGTTGGAGTCATTTGCATCTCTCTCATGGGCTTTCTTAGATCCACTGCTTCGAGACCCATTATTTCCTCCTACCTGACTAGCATAACGTGGTTGATCACAGACAGCGAGCCATTCTGACATTAAATTAAAATGTCTGTTTTTAACACTTGAAAATAGTTCATGCGCTTTTTCCAATACATCGTTCTCTGACCATCTGCTTTGTTGCATACGCTTATATGTTATCGTAAACGCCAATCCATTTACCCAATATTTTGTTCGTGTAATTGTAGTGATTTCTGCAAGAATCTCCATCACGCGGAGGATCAAAATGAGCAATGCTCATTATAGTACTCATAAAGAGTAAAAAAAAAAGGCGACTAGGGTTTTTGTCTTTGGCCGCCGCCGTCGGTGTGGCCTCTCGCCCACCGACGAGAATGTTCCTCTTCCTCCCTCCTCTTCCTTTCTCCCATGGCCATTTGTTCTGTGTTTGCTCTTCTGTCATTTCCTAGGTTTTCTCCAGATCCATCGATAATGAATTTTCCTCCAGATCTGCTCGAGATTTCCTCTCCTCCCGATCCTCCGGAGCCTCCGGACCCACCAGACCCGCCAGACATATCCTCCATACCCGCCGCTGCAATTTCTCCTCCAGTTTCTGGTTCGGCAACCTCTGGCTCAGCCGCTGGTGTTTTCGTTTCCTTTGGATCCAAACTCTCTGCTCTTGCGCGTTTCCCTATTGTTGTGTGCAGCGCCCAGATCTGCTCCAGTCCTTAGTTGGCGACATGGCATTTTTATGTGTGATCCTCTCCTTCAAAAGGTTTTGTCTCTGTGACTCCTGGGAACAAATTGCTATTGCTTGGATTTTCCCTTCGCTTAGGCTTCAATTACCTCAGTATGAGGCTCATGTTACCTCATTATGAGGAATTTAGGCCTTCTTTAAGCCATCTTTTACCTCAGGATGAGGATGTTCTTTTAAAATTCCTTATGTGCTCATTTCGAACTATTGGGTATGTTGCATTATTACCTGTTGTTTCAGGATTACTAGAGAAAGAGATATGCAAAAGTGTTGGCCATTTGGAGAAAGAGTTCACTGTCTCCTTCGAATGTCCTGTTGTTGACGGTTTTTGTGACCTCACTATGTTTCAGTCTATGCCCAATGAAGACTTCCAAGCATCTCTGTTGCTGCTGTTTCAAGAAGAAACCTTTACCATGGGGTTGACGCTCAAGGATGTAATGCTACTGTTTCAAGAAGCCTTTACTGGGCTGTTGGCGTTGAAGTATGTAGAATTTGCAGGTTTCATCTTGCTACAAATATTTCCGGACTCAGATGTCCTCACTTTCTCCCTCGTGTGGAGAACAGATTTGAACGAAATAGCAGGCTTTCTAAGTCTTGTTATTCTCTTCTTTTTCATTTAGCTTCTAGCTATGCTTTCTATTTACTTTGCATCATCTCACTTTTTAGCATTATTGGTGTTGAGTTTAGAGGATTTTTCAATGCTTTTGATGGTTTAAGTGTTATGTCTGCATCTCACTTTTTAGCATTATTGGTGTTGAGTTTAGAGGATTTTTTTAATGCTTTTGATGGTTTAAGTGTTATGTCTGCATATATTGCGTTTATGTTATGTCTGCATATATTGCGTTTATGTTAGTTCTCCGATTTGTCTTTGTTGTATCGATTCTGTTAGCCAGCTTGGTACTATTATCGTGTTTTGTAAACAGTTCCTCCATTGCTGGAGGTTAAGTGATTTATAAAATGTCTATATTGATCCAAAAAAAATATTCAGAAATTTTATTCTAATATGATTTACTTTTTTGGTTTTTGCCAACAATACTATCTATTATGTATATAATTCATCTACTAAGTAACACAGAATTTTGAATAGTAGTCCATATAAGACTTTTCAGACATGTAGGAGTTAAGTCTTCTATATTTGAAGTAGATTCATTAACACAGCTAGTGCCACCAAAAATCATTTGTGTAGAAAATTTGTTCAATTGCTCCAGCTTTTTAAAAAATTAACACTTCATTATAATGTTTGTGGCGATAAACCCATCATACTTTCCGATCATTCCCTCAAGAATATGTAGGAAAGTTGTTCAAAAAGTATATTAGCACAACGTCTTTAAATTGAGTTTCAACAAATGCAACAATGACGTAATTCGTTCTGGTTCTCTCTTGAAAAGTGTGACTCTTTTTTTGCAAACTTAATAAAATGAGGAATTTAATATTTAAAAAATTAGTGGTAGAAACCAAAGAAGAGAGGGGCAGAGGATGAAGTACAGGCTTGATCCAAAGGGATGGGGTAGAAGAAGAGGCAGAGGGATCGACATAGGGCTATGTCAATGTCACATAGCCACTACAAGATATAACGGCTAGGAATAATAGGGTTTCACATAGGCAAATTTAAAATTTCTTTAAAATACAACTAGGTATTCTTCTCTTTGCCATTTTTCTACTAAATTTTAAAATACATTAAAATTTCAGCCAATACATTCAATTAATTGTTGATTGTAAATCTATATTATTTTTCTATTTATGAAGTGGCAGTAACATTGCGCTGTCTGGAAGAGCACATGAATCATAATAGCACCAACAAAATAAGAATCCAAAACTCATCAAATAATTGAAATCAATATTATTCGATCTGTTCAAAAGCATCCATCGATAGGCACATGAAAGCCAATCTGACCCTACCTTCGATAAGCTATTACCCAAACTACTCAATCACTCTCCCCCTTTACTCATTTCATAAGGAACAATTGAACAAACACTTTTCTTTTACAATCAATTTCCAAATAAAGTAACAAACTTTGTTTAGAAGATATATATATATATATATATGTGTGTGTGTGTTAAATTATTTATATTAAAACTTTATATTTAATTACATTTTTGTAATCTGGTAAATTTGAATTGGTTTAAACTTTTATAAAATTGGATATTCAATCCTTTATCATGGTGACCCACAACATGATGAATTCTCTACCCACTCTACTACCAAAACCACAAGAACAAAATTTTGATTTTTTTATTTACCAACTTTGCTACTCTTTTTTATTTTCTGTCCCTTTATTGACATTTTCCATAATTTTGTTAGGTGTATTTCCATAATTTGTTATTGAATTTTGTGAGATCCTTAATTATTTTGTTGTTACTGACATACCACCTAAGCTAAAAATTGGGTATACATGTTTGGAAACTAGAGTAACTTATAAGCTTTATGTTAATCAATACAACTCATCATACACATCCCATCATGTTAATTTGATAACATTCGCCAACGTGTCAACAGATCTAGCACCGCCAACTCTCACATGGCATCATGGGTTTGTATTATACACACAAGAGGGCTTCAATACGACGTTATGTATCTGCGTTTTAATGATTATTCCACTTTTTCTCCTATTTAATAAATCCTTCACTTTCCTCCTTTCACATTTCCTTACACTTTGAGTGAGAGTGCGCTCCATAATCAAAAGAAAAAAGGAAAATTAAAAAAAAAAATGGCTCGGCAATTTGTTGTCGCTGTGATCTGTATCGTCCTCGTCGCCGGCGTCGGAGGTCAAGCTCCGTCGTCACCACCAACCGCCACACCAGCACCACCAACAACAACTCCGCCACCAGCAGCGACTCCTCCTCCTGTCTCAGCTCCTCCACCAGTCACTACTTCTCCTCCTCCAGCAACCACCGCTCCTCCTCCCGCTACTCCTCCTCCAGTCTCTTCTCCACCACCTGCATCTCCTCCTCCTCCAGTTGCATCTCCACCTCCAGCTACTCCTCCTCCAGTCGCATCTCCTCCTCCTCCAGTCGCATCTCCTCCTCCTGCTACTCCTCCTCCAGCTCCTCTCGCTTCCCCTCCCGCTCAGGTTCCAGCTCCTGCTCCGACTAAGAAGCCAGATTCTCCTTCTCCTTCGCCGTCGTCAAGCCCACCTGCTCCGGCGACTGATGCTCCAGGACCTAGCACCGATTCTCTCTCTCCGGGACCTTCCACCGATTCGAATGACCAGGTCCGTTACATTTCTATCTTTCAGTTAGATCTTGTACAATGCGTTTCAGATCTGCGCTGTTTTTGACGTTGATTCAGAATGCAATAGATAATTACTGTTTAGATCTAAACTAGTTTTGATTCTTAGCTTAGGAAAAACATGGTTAGTGCAATTTAGCAAGATAATCCTAGTCTACGCTAAAGTGAGCAGTTATAAGCGCAATTTAGCAAGAAAAAATGCGTCTCGGATTTGTTGTTTTCGGACTTGCTGCTGTATCTGTCTCGAGATCTTCGAACTCGAGCCGTGGCGCGTGGGGCGCAGGAGTCACGTGAGTCTGTCAGCCTGCACGTGAACGAATTAATAACTTCCACGTGGCACAGTATTTTGATTATTTAAAGTAGATCCAGTTAAAGAAAAGTAGATCTAAGTTAACTTTAGTCATAAAGTAGTGTTTTAGTCATAAAAAAAGTCCAAAGCGTGAGTGGAATTCTCGAGAATCTATTTGCTGTCCAAGATGACTTTAAGTTACGACCCCTAGATTTTAGAATCTTTCCAAATGTAACCCCGGATTAAAATAGTTATCTGAAAAGTCCTATTTTTGAAATTAAGTACGATTATTATAATTATAATATGCATCTGTATCAATAAATTGGAATGCTGATCCAAAATCTTGTGTTTTGTTTTGCAGAATGGAGCTAGCAGGACAGTTTCGAGCTTAGTACTTGGATCTGTTCTTGTCTGGTTTATGATCTAAGTGGAGTTATTTCGCATGGTGTTCTTTGCATTTATTTTTATGTCGTCTTTGTTTGTTCCATTGTATTACTTTGGGGACTGAATTCTTTTGGGATTATTATCTTATGGAGAGGATACTACTGAGAGTTGAGATGGGAGATATCAGGATATTTTGTTTGGAGATATTTTTGTGGCTTCTCTTTCTCATTGTATTTGATTATTAGTGTACTGAATTCCTTTTCTTCATTGTCTATCACATTTCTTTCGCATGTTTCTTGATGACACTAATTGGTGTTTCAACAATTTACTATGAAGAATCAACTCTGACGAACGTTTCAAAAGATACTCACGAACAACATAAATTGATAAACTTGTAAACAAATGTAATCTTCTACTCATCGTTGGTTACTTGGTGCAGCTCTTTAAACTCTCATCATTGCTTAGCTCTCATCATTGACCAATTGTTGTTAACGAGGATTGGCCTTATGTTGGTTTAAGGTCGGTTTGTGCCCATGATTTGGTAGTATACCAGAATAGTTAACCGAATTTGATTGTTTATCAAAGAATGAAATGGTGGATTTTGTTTACGGATTCTACAATTGTGCAACGCTCTTGGTGTGTTTATATATATTCAATCCAAACGAGTTATTCCCAAATACAATTACACTTAGCTTGATTGCTTTACAGGTCCGATAATACAATACTCCAATACGAAACTAAATTTAAGCACAAGCAGTCTCTTAAGTTGTGTATTTTACCTTGCACATGAACGGTCAGGCCAATCCCAAAGCTCCATATATGCGCAGGAGCGAGAGCTCGAATGCTATAGCTTGTCTTCAAGTCACTTGCACACTTTGTTGGTGTAAGTATGCAAAGGACCATTGCTATGCCCATGTAAGACAATTTTGAGATAAATAACGATAACTTCAACTTCAAGCAACATTCTCAGACCCATTGGCATCGCAAGTCAAATTTAGAACCTCCATTAGTTCCATTCGATATTCCAAACCTCTGAGGTAGTGTCCTAACAGCATGCACCTTTCAACAGAAAGCAAGATAGTCTCGAGTCAGTGAGATAAGACACAACCAAGACACAAAAAAGTTTTCCTTTTTGAGAGAGAGTGCAAGGAAGGTCTAACCAGAAGAGAAGACGGGCAAGATAGTCTCGAGTCAGTGAGATAAGAGGTTGAAACTGAAGAGAAGTGTTCTCTAAAAGTTCAGGACAATCTTCGTCGCTTTTGGCTTTGACTGTTTCAGTAGGTGGACCTTCTGATGCTGGCAGCTTCGAGTGCATCTTCGGTGATAGGGTTGCCAAAAGACCGTGAACGACAGAATGAATCGTCTCTTTAACCTCGGGAGCCGCAGGTTCTGATAACTCAGCTACCTGTTAAGAATAGTCAAAAGAAAATTAGAGAGATAGGCAAAAGATCCACGAGCTGGAACATCGCTTCAGTGAATTTTAACACAAACCTTCTCAGGCTGCAAAGATCTTAAATAGTCCAGCAAATCATTCTTCTCTTCGCCAACAAACTGCTGCATTTGAAGGGCAGCGTTTTTTCGCCTCACTTCTTGTAGTTCCTGTAATGCAGAAACATCATATAACATGTTACAAGAAAAGATAAATTTTACAGCAAGAAATAAAATATACACAAAACAAAAACAAGGATAAGTTCTTGAGGACTAGTGATTACTTTAGAAACCGCACCTTTTTCACAGAAAGCAATTGTGACTGTAGACGAAAGATATATTTTTGAGCTTCAGAGGATACTTTGCCCAGACCTTCTTTATCAATCATGTCAGAAAGGCTTTGTGTTTTGCTATCCTTTGTAGATGAAACATTATTTTCATCATAAAGCTCACCAAGTTCTATATTATCAAGCAACTTCTCTTTCAAATCATATTCATTATTTTCTGGAGCGTGGCTTTCCAAGTCTAGACCATGCATGTCAAGGTTTTTCTCAAGAAAAAGCCGATATTCAGCATTCCGCAATGTATACCTGCAGCGTTAGCAAAACATCAGGAAGAACATACCACTATTGTATACTCAAAGCTACTTCAGTAAAACAAGAACATATAGAAGCAAATAAGCAGTTTGATTTGATAGAGATCTTCCTTTGACGGATACTTCAGGACAGTTGTATTAAACCCTCGATCGAATGCCCCAGAAAATGAATTTAATTTCAGGATAATGGTAACTAAGTAGTGTTCTTTTGATGATCAAGTTTCACTTTCCTCAAAGCTTACTTCATTGAAAACTAAAAGATATGCAAAAATCGTCGTAGAAGAACATCACAATATTCAAACATAAATTGTACCCTCCAAGCAAAACCAAACAGTGTAAAAACTTGAATTAAGAATTGAATAGTATGGTTGATGAAACATACCCAGTCATCATAGAAGATACCAATAGCTTTGACAAAGGTTCCCAAAGTGATTCGATATGAACTTGAAACCTATCAGATGGAAGAAGCCCCAACATTCCTGAGATCGTTCTTTTCATAGCATCCAAAGTTGTGAGTGGAACATCTTTTTGGATCAAACTCACATCTAATGGTTCAATCTCTTGGATAAGATCCGCAAGTAAGCACTTCTGAGACAAAATCAAATTCAAAATTCAAATTCCACACTACCAAAAACAGAGTTTAAGAAGAAAATTCATCGAAAGCCGAAACCTTAGAAGGATTAGGTGATCGGGAATCAGAATGGAGCGTGAAATCGTCGAGAGAGAAGCCATCGTCACGATTACTGCTAAAACTATTCGAAGGAGTAGCGGCGGAGGCAGTGAGAGTGAGAGTTCGAAATCTCGAATTGAATCGAGGAAGAACGAAAAGGAACGGAGAAGGGTTTGTGGGTTTATTGCGGAGAACTCGAGGAAGAGAAAGAGAGAAGGAAGAAACAGTCGTCGTCGTCGCCATTAAAAAAGGGAAGCTTTTATGGCGAATTTGTACGAAATTCTTCTTCTTCTTTTCTCTTCCCTTAAGCTCAAACCCTAATTTTCCCTTCTTCGATTCTGCGTCTGTTTTCGAGTATATTGTTAGCCACAAAAGCAACCGGGAACGTGACAAAAACGTTGAGTCGTCAACGAACACGGTTTGCCGCTAACCGTTCTATTTTGGTGGCTGGCTGGCTCAATTGTTAAACCGGTAACATCCCGGTTTTGTTTCATTAGAGATGATAAGGCCCACAAACTGCAAGTCCAATTTGTTTTCCAGCCCATTTCACTTTTTATCAAAAAATCAGGATATTGCAATTTGAAAAAAATAAGCTCCAGATCCTTAAACCCTAGTCTCCTCATCGCCGACCATCGCCGGGAATCGCACCAGTAACAATGGCGAAAAACCTATCCCGCTCCACCGCCTCACGCGTCGCTAATCGCTTCTTTTCCACCGCCAGAGCCACCGCTTCTCCTTCTCCGCTTACTTCTCACCTTATCTCCCGTCGAGCCTCACCGACGGTGTTCCACGCCGTCGGATTCATCCCAGCTCTGAACCATTTCACGACGATCCGGACCCGGATGGATAGATCCGGTGGATCTTCGTACTCTCCCCTCAAATCCGGATCGAATTTCAGCGACCGACCACCTACTGAGATGGCGCCGCTATTTCCCGGTTGCGATTACGAGCATTGGCTCATCATCATGGATAAGCCCGGCGGAGAAAACGCGAATCCTCAGCAAATGATTGATTGCTATGTTCAAACCCTAGCTAAAATTCTCGGCAGGTAAAGTCTTCTCTTCTCTACCATTTCCACAGTCTGATTTCGTTAGAATTCGTATCTCCATTTTCTTCTACTAGCTCACTAATAAACATGCGCACTGTGACTGTTGTTTCGTTTTCTCAGTGAAGAAGAAGCTAAGAGGAAGATCTACAATGTATCTTGCGAGAGGTATTTTGGGTTTGGCTGTGAGATCGATGAGGAGACTTCAAACAAACTCGAAGGTAATCTCTCTTTGGTCACTGTGTGATTTTATAGTCCTTTAGAATCAGTAGGCGAAACATGAGGTGTGATTGTGATTGATGTGTTCTTGGTTCTTGTGAGTTTCAGGGATTCCTGGTGTTCTGTTCGTGCTTCCAGACTCTTTTGTTGATGCAGAGTACAGAGATTACGGAGGTTAGTGTCATAATCCAACCAGATTTTGTCGAATTTAGTAGTTCAAAGAGTTGATCTTCACAGGGAAAGTATAACTCTTAAAAAACGTTTTCTTTAATGATGATGCACTGTTCTTGTTTATGTTTATGAATGATTATAACTTAGTTAGTGCTTCTCTGGCTTAATGTATGTTGATTCTATGTAATTCAGCTCATCACGTCTCTTTGTTGAATGTTTTCTTATGCAATTGCAGCTGAGTTGTTTGTGAACGGGGAAGTAGTTCCGCGGCCACTGGAGAGGCAGAGGAGGATTACGGAGTTAACGACTCATAGAAGCTCGGATAAACCGAAGTACCACGATAGAACCAGATATGTCCGACGGAGAGAGAACATGCGTTGAGTCTAATTATCAGTGTCTATGCTATACATCGATCCCTTTCCCTTTGAACTCTGTACGAATGATGTAAATGGGTGATCATGATATCGGTAATGGTGGTACTATGGATGATAATGGTTTTTACTTTTGGGCGCGTGAAACTTAATTGGTAGCAGAAATTGAGTTTATAATATTTTATCAGCTGTTTCTGCATCTATAAATGAAAAAAAAAGTTCATTAAAAACAATTTTCTCATCTTTAAAATTTACAATAGTCATTATTAAACTTATGAATGATTTACATTTTTTTAATTATTTTTATTCTTTTTTGGAAAATTCACATTTGTTATCAAAAAAATTGGTAAATGTATTCGTGCTATACACACATTATGTATTACACACATTATGTACTAGGTGGTTGTCCGGGTATAATTTTTTTTATATATATAGTTAATTGTAATATTTAAATGTTGATTAGGTTTTTTAAACATTGATATGTTTGTATATATATTGTTTTAATATTTCACAAACTTCTTTTTGAAACCAATGTATTTTAAAAACTTTATTTTTATAATGCTTGTAATAGTATATAATCACAAATATAAACGTTATATTAAATAATAATTAAATTTTTATAATATGCTTTATTTTTCCTTACACAATCTACAATATGTTTTTTTGCGTCCTACATAATATGAATTTGCAAATACATATATAATATATTTTAAGTATATATTTTTCTTGATTTATTGCAAATTAAACTGAAATAGTTTTTACCATTTTTACTTATTTTTAAGAGCGGATAGATGGTTGGCACGCATGTGTTGACATACCAACCACTTCCCTACATTTAGAATATATAAGTATTTTTTTAAAAAATAAAAATTATATAATAATTAAAATAAAAATTAGTTTGTAATCAATCTTAACAAAATACATGCACGGAAAAGTTTGCATGTGACTTCAACTAATGTACAATTAATATTTATGTATGTACGAGTATTTGTAAAAAAATTGAAATATGGCTCTTAGGTGTTAAAAAGTTTTTAAGTAACTTTGTAAAACAAAGTGCGAGAGATTTATTTTTATATACTTCTATTTTTATTTCTTATTCATATTGTTTCATCTTATTATAATTTATTTTTTCGTTCGGTTATTTTTCATTTTATTTATGTTCTCAAAATTTTGATATACAATGAAAATAAATTTATGTATATATATATATGATATAAAATTTATTTTTATTTAAAATATGATAAGAGATAAGATGAGATGGTAACATAAGTTATGTACATTTTAGAAAACAACAATAAAAAGATGATAAAAGTTATAGAAAAATATATGGTCCTATTAATATTATAAAATAATAATTAATATATACTTTATTCATTTAGTAAATATTGATTTGAAAAGAAAAATTATTTAAAATTACGTTTTTTTAAAAAAAAATTCAATAAAAGTTGATTATTTTTTAATTATTTTTAACATTTTATTCTTTAAATTATTTTTATCATTATTGTATTTTATTTAAAATTGTATTATTTAATAATTTGTTTATTTAAAACTTGTTTAGATGTTATTAATATATTTTGTAAATTAATAAGTAATAACTTTCCGAAATAAAAATATATCATACTTCAAGTATTATTAATAAATAGAATTTTTATTATTCTATTGGATAATTTAGTATTATTTTTTCGTTTTATATGAAATTATATATATATATATATATTGTTAAAAAAATTTTGTAATTATATTTTATGAAATTATGAATATATGTAAAAAATTGAAATTATAATAAATTTTATTTTCTGTTAATTTAAATTTGTTAATTTTAGTGTTATAAATATAATCTAGTTTATTTATGTTTTAATTCCATAATTTCTACAATTTTAATTCAACCAATCAAAATATTTTGTTTATTTTAGAAAATTTGACATGTCATATTTACATGTCATCAATTAAAAGCACTAACTTTAGCTGTAGTGTTGACAAGTCAGTTATTTTCAATAATGTTATTTCTCAAATAATATGCAGTGGATTTGTGTTTTGTCCAAATAGAATCGGTTATCTTCAGAAGAAGTTCACCATTTTACGCTTCTGCATAGCATATCAAAAAGATATTGAGAACCATGTGATTTTCTTAAGCTACGTAATGCCAAGCTAGACATATCTTTAGCATCGTCTTTCAAAAAAATATGAAGATTTGTAATTTATATATTACATGAAGGAAAATCTTATTGTAACAATTTTAAGGAACTCTCTTCTATTTCTTTTCCAAACGGTTATTGGATCTTTGGCTCTCTAGGGTACCTACGTTTTTCCAACGATGATTCACAAGTTAACTGCGAAATAATATTGTATGTGACAGGAAAATCATATTCTTCTATTATTGTAAAAGTATAATGTATTAGTATTCTCAGCTATAAACTTATACTTTTGAGACTCACTCCTCCTTTAAGAATAATATAATTAATATAAACACTACAGAATTATTAGTTTTCTTAACATGCGTAGAGGAAATCGGAAAAGAAAACATGCTATCTATTGTAGCTGCTAATATATACTATATGGTTTAGCTTGGTCGAAAATGGAAGTGTCAAAAAGACAGGACTCATATCTTTGCCTGATGATCAATTAGCTAGTCGATACAAATATAAAATCATACAAGGGTTAACTTGTTACAAGCATTGGTATGCCATAGATAAAATAGAGTCTATTTTAATTAATATTATTTTGGTTGTTTAAAATTGTCCAATTTAAAAGGGTTTGATTAATTCATTCTATACATTTCAAAACCAACCAGTTTTTTCTATCACGATATGAATTCATTAAAATGTTACGTAAAAGGCAAAGAGGCAGAGGTTTGGCCGTCGTGTTACAGAATTTTGAAGACAATAGCTAAAAAACATGTTTTGTAAAATGTCAGTTTGCTTTGGTACAATCCCAACAGTTTAAATACTTATCATGTTTCTTTGTTACAAATCTGCAAAAGTGCATAACCCACAAACCCCTAATAATATGTTCCTCTCGATGAACCCACAAACCCTCAATAATACCAACATTTTGGTCACAACTCTCTCCCTTATTGTTTCCATGTTTGGCCCACCAAAATGTGTTAATTCATTCTTAATTTAGGTTTTACATTAATATCAAATGCATGTTTATGTTTTAAGATTGTGATAGTTGCGCCTTGCTGTATTGTGTCAATGTGTGAAGTAGGAAATTAGCTATCGTAAAATGGTTCATCGAGCTAAGTATTCGGATAATGATCAGAGCTAAGTATTCGGATAATGATCAGAGCTAAGTATTCGGATAATGATCAGAGCTTGGCTTAGCTGCCATGCATAACATCTGTTTTTAATTAAATTAAAGATTTTAAAGATATAGCTCAATATCACTCATGCAATATCAACAAAATAATTAGAAAGTTATGGACTAAATCCGTAATCTCATCTGGCCTGTTATCAATCACCTTTGATAATACCCATTTTCATGTAATTCATCCCTCTCAAACATCGATTTGAATTAGGAATGTAAGCTTCAACCTCTTTTGAGAAATCATGTCAAACCAAGCTAGTACGTAGACTAGCATTACCCAAGTTTGGTTTAAAATTTATGGCAATAATGGATCAGCGCTTTACAATGATTGCTATAAAGTTCATTTGTCACCATTACATTACTTTACAATGATTTGAACTTGTGGAGCCTATAGAAAAATGAGACACTCAACTAATAACCCATATATGCAGGCAAATATTTCGTGATATGTCCGACCAATTACACTTCTATCAATATTGCTGGGATCATAGTATTTTATTAGTTTCTAGAAAATATTAATTAACAGATTATTTCTTATCACTTAAGGGAGCTTACCATAAAATCTGAAAACTGCTCAAGACAAGTCGAAAAACTATGAAGCGGAAAAAAAACAAAAAAAAAGTATGAAGCGAGATTTTCGTAGAATCCAAAACCTTTGCGAAGTTTAACTAACATTTTGTAGTCTCAATCATGAAAATTACCTATGTAGTAAAATGTTAGAGGAGAAATGAACACAATTTATAAATAGTTTTCTCTCGCAATAACCTAAGCCCATCAAAATCAGGAAGACCGTACCGACCTAGTTCGGATTAAAGAAAACTTCATGGAGATAACCTTTGAAAAACGGAAACATCGGATCAGCTAGAAGGATAAGGGAGAATTTCCATAAATCTTCGGAGAATAAGGGACATTTCAATATTACAAATATGGAAATATTCACCAAAGACAAAAAGGAAAAGGAGTTCGGAACAACTGACCTCTTATCCCTATAAGTACAGAGACCCCGAAGCCTGGAAGCATAACTCATACATTCTAGAGAGCAGCAGACTAAAATCAGAGACTCCAACGCTTTCTAGCTTACCTCCCAAATCTTCTTTTCACTTCGGCATAACCTCTCGGTTATCCCATTCTTTGTAATCTCTTCGCTTTATCGCTATTAATAAAAGACTTTATTCCCTAAAACCCACAACTGTTAATCAAAACCCTAGTGGTGATTTTCTGGTTCAACAGTTGGCGCCGTCTGTGGGGATTAGGAGAATAAATTCTTAAAACTAAGCAAGAAAAGCCGAAGCGATGAGCCTTCCGATTGATAATAACCATCTTATTCGCAGCGTCAGCTCGACCACCGCGATCCCACCACCCACGGGAAAACACAATCGAGCAAGCACCAACATTATCTATATGATTTTAGGAGGAACATTCAATGATCCCAGCTCGCTAGAGGAAATAGGATGACACGAAGAAAAAGCGGCAGGAGCAAAGCGAGATCCACCCGCCCCAAGATACGAGACGCCAATAGATTTAACAACGGAGGATCAATGTAGCTTGCACGCACCTCACTTCGACCCGCTAGTCATAACTCTACAGATCCACGATAGCACGGTCGTCAAAGGTCTGATCGATGGCGGGAGCAAGGTCAACATCATCTTCAAAGACATACTATCGAGGATGAATATCAACGAAAACAAGATAATAGCAATCAGAAAACCGCTGACCGGATTCGCAGGCGACACCTCTTACAGTATCGGTTCGATACACCTGATCACTTACATCGGCGGCATGACCAAGAAGGCAGAATTTGCAGTCATCAATCGCCCGACCATCTACAATGTCATCCTTGGAACCCCATGGATCCACGCCATGAAGGCCATCGTCTCGACATACCTTCAATGCATCAAGTTTCCAACCCCAACAGGTACGTTCGCACTACAG